GTAGCCGCTCTGCACAAACCAAGGGCTTGGACTCTATGACCACGAAGAGCGGTAAACACCTTTCCTCGCCTCAAGATGTCCCCGCCTCCGTCGGCGATGCGGGCGCTCTTGCCGGCGCGCTCTATGGTGGGGCCTCCGGGGCCGAGCATGCGCTCTCTTTCCTTTCTAAATTCTCCTCAGGAGAAGCGGCGGTTGTGGCGGAGCTGCGGAAGCCCGGCGCCGGCCCTCTCCTTCCTTCCTTCCTTCCCTCCGCCGGTCATGGAGCCTGAGGCCTCCGACGAAGCGGGCAGCGCTGGCGGAGCCCAGGCCGGAGCCGGAGCCCTCACCCCCGAAGCCGGAGGATGGGGGCCGCCGCCAGACCCCGCCGGAGGTGAGCCGTGAGGGGAGGAAAAACACCGTCCGCCCCGCTGATTCTCAGGTCCAAAACACACTGCCGAAAGAACCCAGTCTGAGACCGCTTTAACTGCCCTGGCTCAGTGCTAGGGAATCATGGGAACTGTAGTTTATTATGGCCCCAGGGCTATCTCTGACAGAGAAGGCTCAATGTCTCACAGAATTACACTTCCCAGGATTCCTTAGCATTGAGCCAGGGCAGTTAAATTGCTCTCAAACTGGATTATTTCTGCAGTGGGGTTTGGACCCATGTGATCAAAGGAGAAATCTAGATTTAGATCCAAAACACACTGCCGAAAGAATCCAGTTTGAGACCGCATTAACTGCCTTGGCTCAGCGCTAGGGAATCCTGGGAATTGTAGTTTATCTCGGACAGAGAAGCCGCCTAAATGTCATACAAAACTACACTTCCCGGGATTCCTTAGCCTTGCGCCAGGGCAGTTAAAGCGGTCTCAAACTGGGTTATTTCTGCAGAGACCTTAGCTTTTGTTCCATATAGGCTTAGAGTGCATCCACACTACAGAATTAAAGCAGTTTGACACCACTTTTCTCTGTCAGGACTCTCTGCTACAGAATCCTGGGATTTGGAGTTGGTTGAAGCCCCAGAGCTCTCTGGAAGACCAGGATGAATTCCTCACCAAACCACAAACCCCAGAATTCTGTTGGATAGAGTCATGGCAGTTAAAGTGGTGTCAAACTGCTTTATTTCTGCATGTGGATAGATCCTTAGTCTCCCTTGTCTGGAATTCCAAAATCCAAAATATTCCAAAACTGCCTGAGAGAGTTGTTTCTGACTTATGGCAAACCTGAGGCAATCCTATCATAGGGTTTTCTTGGCAAGGTTTGTTCAGAGGTAGTTTGCCCTTGCCTTTCCCTGAGGCTGAGAGAGTGTGAGTCAGCCAAGGTCACCCAGTGGCTGAGCAGGGGGTTTGAACTCTGATCTCCAGAGTCATAGTCCAACACTCAAACCATTGGCTCTCATGACAGCCCTGAGGCAAACTTATCACAGGATTTTCTTGGCAAGATTTGTTCAGATGGGGTTTATCATTGCCATCCTCTGAGGCTGAGAGAATGTGACTTGCTCAAGGGCATCCAGTGGGTTTCCATGGCTTAGCCAAGATTCAGACCCTGGTCTCCAGAGTCATAGTCCAATGCTCAAACCACTATGCTGCGCTGGCTAGTACATTCAGCTTGTACTGCTAGTTATTGACAATATTAGGTTATCTGATGTGTACATATAAATGTGTGTGTGTGTTTCAAAGATACAGCCATGCTAGTCGGTAGAATCAGTATGTAGAGAGATGTTGTAGCACTTTTGAGACTAACTGAAAGAAAGAAGTTGGCAGCATGAGTCTTCGTAGACTTCCTCAGATGCATTTGGTCATTAATTAGTCATTAATATTGTTATTGATAATCCTGACAACAACGGGTGTGTTGGGCAAGGGGAGGTCAACAACAATGGGACAGTTTTTAAAACATTAATAGCACTGTATATGTAGGTGTAGATACATAACATATAAGTATATAATTATTAATATAATTAATGCTAGTAATTATTACTGCTGATGGTAGTAACAGTAGAATGTGCTGGGGGGGGGCGGCAATAAAGACATTGGTCCAAACCCCACTGCTGAAATAATCTAATTTGAGACTGCTTTAACTGCCCTGGCTCAGTGCCAGGGGGTTCTGGGAACTGTAGTTTTGTGAGACATTTAACCGTCTCTATCAGAGAGCTCTGGTGCCACAGTAAACTACAATTCCCAGGATTCCCTAGTACTGAGTCAGGGAAGTTACAGCAGTGTCAAACTGGATTATTTCAACAGTGTGTTTTGGACCATTATCAGGATATTAATAGAGTCACTAGGAATATTCTTGATATTGATTTAATTATTTTTTACCAGCCTTTCTCTTAGCAAGGAACTACAATAAATAATCCCAATCATATGGCAGGATGATAGGAGGAAACCATGACACTGTTAAATGGACTCATAATAATGCTAGGTGACATTATGGTGTGTGTATTTGTTTGTTTGTGTGTGTGTATGTATGTATGTATGTATGTGCAACTAACTGTTCAAGTTGCCTGTCAGCTTGTGGCAGCCCTGTAAACCCTATGAATTTCTTAGGTAAGGAATCCTCAGAGGTGGTTTTGACAGTTCCTTCCTATGAAATATAGCCCACAGTGGTTTCTTCATTAGTGGTTTCCCATCTAAATACTGACCAGAGCTGGCCCTGCTTACCTTCCAAGATCAGATGGGATCTGGTGCCTTAGGGCATTTAGGCCCAAGCATTAATAGTAACACTGATAATAGTAGCATTGATATTGCAATAGCACTGATAAAATCTCTGAATGTTAAGGGCTATAGAGAATAAAAGGTGGAACTGACAGTCTGGTATTGGTAATACTATACTGGTAATTGGATGTGCTGTGTGGGATGGGATTTTGGGGTTATTAATAGTATTACCTGGCTTGTTTTCTTGTTTTCCTTTTGTTGTTATCATCATCATCTTCGCTAGTGACCAAGGATGTGTGTATTTTCATGATTCATTATTCATGATTCATTAAGCCACTCTGAGAGCATTTGTGGCTGAAGTGTGGGGTATAAATACTTTAGATAAATAAATAAATAAAACTATCTTGAATTAATGGTAACAGGAATCCAGCACTCTGATCAATAATAGTATCAGTAGGACTGTTTGTTTTGGTAGGTACTACTAAAAATTGGATGTCCGAGCAAAGAAGATTAGATTATTATGGCAATGAAGACTAATCTCCAAGGGATGAGATAACTATAGTAAGGAGGATTCCTGGGAATGTTATTAGTAGAGTTATTAAGGAATATTTGCTGGGAGAATGAAGGTGTGGGGTGAGAAGTCGGGGAAGAATATTGGGTATTAATAAGGCTATGGTATTCATTGTGCAACAGGGAGATTTTGTGAAGCTTCTGCAAGTAATATTTTGTATCGGTTCTTGTTCTTGGTTTGGAAGATATGTTGGCAGGTGTCAACAACAACAACAAGCTATTATTACAGTTAATAAACCACAAGGCACAACAACAACATAACAACAACAACAAAACCAACCAAAACACCCCAACAGTCATATACATCTTATACAGCTAAATGCAAAATTGTGAGCGCTCCATATTGGAAAGGAAGAGCAAACTATATTAAAATAGTGGGGTATTGCCAGTTTGAGGCCTGGATGCTGCATGATGGGGTGAGCTCCTGTCACTAGTCCCAGCTTCTGCCAACCTAGCAGTTCGAAAGCATGCAAATGCAGGTAGATAAATAGGTACCACTTCGATAGGAAGGGAAACAGCGTTCTGTGCAGTCATGCTGGCCACATGATCATAGAGTAGTCTCTGACAACGCTGGCTCTTCGACTCAGTAACAGAGATGAGCACTGCCTCCTATGTTCAGACACAACTTGACAACTTTGTCAACGGAGAATACCTTTACCTTTTTATAATCAAGTGCAAATAAGTGCATTTTAAAAATGGCTTAGTAAAATGTGTTTAGAATTCAGGACAAAACAGATATGATTGGCAGGTGTCTGCAAGAAGAGAGAGCAAATAGTGGGATTGTTAGTACATTTTTATTGCTTATGATGTATGGCAACCCTAAGGTGAACTTTAAAGGGGTTTTCTTGGCCAGATTTATTGAAAATGGGGTTTCCATGCCCTTCATCAAAGGATGAGAAAGTAGGACTTCCATAGTTTCCAGGGCTAAGTGGGGATTCAAACCCTGGTCTCCCAGAGTCCTGTTGAACCACTACACCAATGGGTTCCCAACCTTTTCTGTGCCCCACACCCCTAGGAAATGTTTGGTTAATGTTCACACCCCCTACAAAACTAATATCACATTTGGAGATGAAGAAGTCTAATTTCTAATTTTTGAACCACAAATTGAACCACATGCAATACTGTTAATGAACAAATGGAACCTTAAAAAAATAAGCTTTGAGCTCAGTGCATAATATGCAAACCTAAATTGAGCAATTAGGTTCTAAATTGTGAAGTCGGAAGGCTTTCATGGCCGGTATCCATTGTTGTTTGTGGGTTTTCCAGGGTATGTGGCTGCGTTCTGGAAGAATTTATTCCTGACATTTGCCTACATCTATGGATGGCATCTTCAGAGGATAGTGGCATGAAAGTGTGTGGAGTATATATACCTGTGGGACCCTTGTTTGGGAGGAAGTGGCTTGCATGTTAATGGTGAAGTTAGTTTGTGTGTTGCACTATGTTGAATGTCGCCTCCAGATTTTGCCATTCAACACAGTACAATACACAAACTGCCCATTACCTTCCCCAGATACACAGTGAAAAGACTTGTAAAGCTATCATGGCCAGAGAGAGAGAGAGAGAGAGAGAGAGAGAGTCCTAGTCTAGCACTCAAACACTACACAGTGCTGCCTGTTGTAGCCTTTTCTTCAGAGAAGTTTTGCCATTGCCTTCCTGTGAGGCTGGGAGAGTGTGACTTGCCAGGGTCATCCAGTTGGTTTCCATGGCTTAGCCGGGTCTCCTCTTCCAGAATCCTCATCCATCACACCATGCTGTTATTGTTAACAGTGATTATAGTAATATTTGGTTGTAGAATAATACGACATCTGCGTGGCATAGTGGTTTGAGTGTTGGACTATGACTCTGAAGACCAGGTTTCGAATCCTTACTCAGCCATGGAAACCCACACTCTTGCAGTTCAGAGGAAGGCAAAGCCAACCTCCCACCAAACAATTCTTGCCAAGAAAACAACATGATGAGGTCATCTTAGGGTTGCCATAAGTTGGAGAACTACTTGAAGAGTAATATTTATTTATTTTATTTATTTATTTATTTTCATTTCTAGGCCACCTTTCTCTCAGAAGGGGACCCAAAGTGGCTCACAGAATGGCAGTCAGAGGGATCCCTGGAATATCTCTTATATACTATAAGTCAGGGATGCTCAAAGTCTGACCTTCCAGGTGTTTAAGACTTCAGCTCTCAGAATCCCAGAACACTGGCCAAGATGGCAGAGGCTTCTGGGAACTGAAGTCCAAAATACCTAGAGGACCAGAGTTTGGGAATCTTTGCTATAAGTGTTTGTGTGTTTTGTTTAGGCGTGGGCTAATGCGCTGGCATCAGCTTACTGGATTATTATTAATGACATCATTATTGCATGCACTAGAGAGAATATGAGGTAGCATAATCAAGTTATTAAGATTGTTATTATCTTGATTGACATAGTATTATTTAGTATCAAAGTAGCATATTATACATAGCTGACAAAAATGGCAATATGTGGGCAAAAGGGGGATGTTGCATTAATGCTGTATTTATTGTGGCAATGTCCTGGCAGAGAAGGAAAGACATCAAAGATTAATAGGGAATGAAAGACCAGTGAGGGAATCTTAGTGATGGAAGATGGTGATGATATAATCATACTTAAACGTGGGGAATGGAAGGAACAAATTTTGGAGTAGGTGCTGTAGAGGATGGGGGACCTGGCTGGTTTGTTGGGATTGGGAGAAGTATTAAGTATCCGGCAGAAATTGGCCTGAGCAGAGAATGAAGGCTGGAATTCTAGGAAGGGGAAAGGTTAGAGAATGGTTGGGAAAGGTGTGACCCTTCAAAATTTGTTGGATTGCAGCTCCCAAGGAGCCCTGGTGGCACAAGGGAGCCCTGGTGACACAGTGGTTAAATCCTGGTCCTGCAGCCACAACATTGTACATTTGATCCTAGAGCAGGGGTAGGCAACCCAAGGCCCGGGGGGGGCGGATGCGGCCCCCTGAGGCCTTTGGACCGGCCCCAGGCCGGTCCTGCCGCCGCCGCCGCCACCGCCCGCCATGATGATATTGATTATTGTTGTTATTACTTGTTCTTGGGTTTTTCTTGGCAAAATCTCCACAGGGGTTTTGCCATGGCTTTTCTGGGGCTGAGAGAATGTGCATGCATATATTTTTTAATTTTTTTAATTGTATTTATTTATTTATTTATTTATTTTTGGTGCTTCAGCCCCCCAGTTGTCTGAGGGACAGCAACCTGGCCCCCCGGCTCAAAAAGGTTGCCTACCCCTGTCCTAGAGGATGGCTCCAAGGTCCACTCAGCCTTCCATGCTTTTATAGGTCAGTCAAATGAGTCAAACGTTTGGGGCAATTGGCTTACAGATTGTAAACCACTTAGGGAGTGTTAGTCCACTGATAAGCGGTAGAGAAATGTACTTGCTCTTGCTATTGTCCCTTATCATTAGCTATTTTGGCTAGGAATGATGGGAGTTGCTGTCTGCCTGCTTCTGGAAGGGCATGCCAGTGGGTTAAAGGAACCTCCTGGAAGGATGGGGGGCAAATTAATAAATAAAAAGAGAGAAACTGAAGATTGGAGGAGGAGGAAGGAGATAATAGGAAGATCATAATGGGTGGGAATAGTGAACTGGGATGCTATGGAAGGAAGCTTGGTAACACTGAGTAGCAGAATTGCAGGGAGTCATGGAGGTTGGGGGTGCAAGACTGAAGGTAGTGGTAAAAAGCTAGTGGAAACTCTGGGCTGGCAGAAGTAAAGGAATGTGAAAATGTGGTTCGTGGTTGAAATCTGTTGGAGCTATGGGAGGCAGGAGGTGGGAAGAAGAATGTACTGTTGGAAGTAGAGGGATAAAGCTGAAAGTGGGCGATGTGTGATTTGGGGGCCTTGGGCATGATCTGAGGGCTCTGCCGGGTTGAGCAGAGGACAGCTGTGTCATCTGGGTGGAGGAGGCGAGCATTACTCAGCTTCATCGGCCTTGTTTACATGAAGGTAGAAAAACCCACCATAGCATGAAGGGAATGTCACTTCACAGGGATTCTCATTTATTTGTGTTCTTCCCATCTCTATTGTATGAGTTAGTGATAATCTTTGTTCTTTCTCTTTCCCAGTCCATATACTTAAAATCTTTCTTCTCACTGCCTGCCTCCAGTTCATCAAAAGATGCTGTCCATTTCTCTATCCCAATCATGTTTTATTTTTAAAGCCAAGCCACCCGGCTGGCTCTCGCTTTGCCCTCCCCGAGGAAATGTTCCCGTCCATCCATCTGAAAATGACACCCTGCTCTGGAGTTTAGGGACTGTACTGATTAGAACATGGCAGCTGCAAGAAATATTAAAACTGAACCAGTCAACCCTTATTTTTAAAAAAAAGATATTTAGCCTTATCTGCCTTTTTGCTAATCAAGTCTCTTTAAACTTAAATGAACAGCCAGTGCCTCTAAACCTCAATGGAAGCAGCTTTGCAGGCCAGGAAGGGGAAAATGAATACTAAAAATAAATTTAAAAAGTGACCCCCATCTGTTGCTGAAAAAGAAAGGCCATCCTTGATTGTTGTCCCCTATTTTTTTATATATATACCTGATCCAGACCAGTCTCAAACAATCGATGAACTCACAGCCCCTTCCCAGTTAAGATGATCATGCATAGATTAAATGGACCTCTTCTCCTTTGATATGAGTCATCTATAACACCCTTCAACCAGCAAATGATAAAGGAGGCTGGATAAATTAAGCTTGCCCCCTCCCCACTCCTTTAGTGTACGTGTGTGGGCGAAGCTGGGATTCAGACCATGTTCATTCAGATATGTTTATTCCACCAGGCACTGGAGAATCTATGTAGGCCAGCTCCCTGTCCAATGTACGTGGGACATATTTGAACTGTGCATGCTCCTCATAGTTCATTGCCACATAGGGTTGCCAAGTATCTCTTATTAAAATAGCCCTAGTACAGTGGTCCTTCCACATTTGCTGGGGTTAGGGGTGAAGCGCCCCCATGAATGTGGAAAAACTGCAAATAAAAAAACCTATTCTTTTTACCTCAGAGAACCCCTGTCTAGGAATCCCCAGGTCCTCCAGTGCAACTCTATGGTCAACATCTGCCAGTCGTTGATAATGGAATCACTCTGGAGGACCTACAGAGAAGCGTTTTGCTCTTGGAACTTGTAGGTTCTCCAGCACAACTCCATGGTCAACTTCCAGCAGAATTGTGCTGGAGAACTTTCCTAGAGGAAATGTATTAATCAAAACTGCAAATAATCAAATCTGCAAAATTCAAATCTGCAAATGTGTAAGGCCAATTGTAGTGCCACTCTGTTCTGCCTTAGTTAGCCCACACCTGTAATAATAAGCCCAATTAAAGGAGCCCTGGTGGCGCAGTGGTTAAATGCTGGTCCTGCAGTCAAAACTTTGCGAGTTCGAGCCCAGGGCTTCAGGAGTGACTCAGCCTTCCATTCTTTCATAGGTCGGTAAAATGAGTAACCACTGGCTTATAGATTATAAATTCCTTAGAGCAGTGATGGCTAACCTTTTAGGGGCTGAGTGCCCAAACTAAAAGGCCTTCTGGGTGCGGGGCTTCTGCCCTCTGGGGGTGGGATTTCCGGGGCAGGACTTCCCCCCCCCGCCCTTCCAGGCCTTCAGCTCCCTCTCTGGAAGTAGCTGAAGGCCCAGGAGGGGGTGAGGGGGGGAAAGAAGAGGAACAGGCCTGTGCCTCTTCCTCCTCCTTCCCCCATACAGTCTGCAGCCTTCAGCTGCCTCCGAAGAGGAAGCTAAAGGCCTGGGATGGCCAGGAAGGAAGAGGAACAGGCACGCACCTCTTCCTCCTTCTCCCTGCGTGCCAGGTTTGTCATTACGGGCTTAGAGAGTGCTGAGTTTACTAGTAAACAGTATAGAAATGTTAAGTGCTATTGCTATTGCAATTCTGGGTGCCACAGTTAAAGATGGATTTTGTCAAATGGGTACCAAGATTATCAAAGATCTGGAAACCAAGTCCTGTGAGGAACAATTGAGAGACTTTGGTATGTTTAGCTTTGTGAAGAATGAAAGGTGACATGATAGCCATCTTTAACTATCTGAAGGGATGTCATGTAGATGATGGAAAGAGGTTTTCTGCTGCTCCAGACACAAGAACACAAACCAGTGGATTCAAATTACAAGAAAGGATTCCACCTAAACATTAGATAGACCTTCTTTACTCTAAGAACTGTTCAGTAGTGGAATCGACTGTCTCAGAAGGACAGCCTTTAGAAGTCTTTAAACAGAGGTTGAATAGCCATCTTTCATGAGTGGTTGTACTTGCATGGCAGGGGGTTCAACTAGATGGCTTCCGATTTTATATTCTATAAGGAATGCCTCTTATTTAAGGAACAGGAAATTTGTCCTTTATAGGACTGGCAAGTGGTCCTTATTCAAGGGGTGATGTTATTAAGCTTTTTCTTTATATAGACTGAACAAAATTCCAAAACCTGTATTTTGCAGCATGAGGCCTTCATAAAGACAGAAAGGTATGCATCTTGTAATTTGTGAGGTGGACAATGTTTTAATTTTACAGAGAGACAATGGTTAAGTTAACTGACATCAATATTTTGGTAGAACACAAACTTGTTAAAAGCTACTTCCTATTTGTCAACCCTGCATGTCACGAATTTCAGCTGTCCTTTATTGCTATTTTTAAAACCTGACAGTGATGTCCCCACTTTGTTTTCTCTTCACCAGGCTGATCTTGCCCAACATCCTCAACCATTCCTCCTATGTTTTGTTTTGTACTTTGTACTTCTTATCATTATTGGACTTCTCTGAACCTGATCCTACTTGTTTCTGTGCTCCTTATGGTGAAGCACCCAGAACACAGTAATCCAAATGAGACCTGCCCAGCTCAGAATATAGTGGTACTCTTCTTTCCCTTGAC